TAGATATTTTCTTGTCATACTTACTCACAGCTCACCTGAGTATTGTTCCTGACCATTTGCGTCATAGATGCAGCTGATAAACCTTTAGCAACTGACTGACGCCACGATTTCAACATGGTCTTTGAGGAATGTTTCCAGCACCTTGTTGAATCTCCACGACAAAAATTGGGTCCAGTCTGCTACTAGCGAGGCTAAATTAATGAAGTGGCTGGTGAGTGTAGAATAAAATTAAGGTTAACAGAACAGTCCTTAACAGAACAAGATGCAGAAAAAGATACTTTGGGCCATTTGGAAATTATGTCATCACGAAGTTTGTGCAGCAGACTGTGCTCCGACTGCACCGTTTCATATACCGTCCTCTTTACTGTCTGCACCACATCTAGCAAAGTATGCATCACGCAAAGCTGGTTGAGTTTTAGACATGATGTAACTAAGTGTAAAGAAGAATTGTAGCTTTGTTGCTCGCATGTGTTGTTCCTCTTAATAGGGTTTGTGCGGTGACCACTCTTGACACAACGTTGTGCCTTCCTGCTGTATATGACAGACGGTTAAATGGATGCATTTAAGGGAAGGAACGTAGAGAAGAGAGGAAAAAATAGGGCAGCATCAGGTGTGTTCAGTTCCTTCTGTGCAGCTTGCCTAATCTGTAATTTTGCTCTTGGCGTGAGGCTCAGCTGCTTTGCTCTCATCTGAGCCATTGTGTGGTCAGATGAGTATTTGCTGCCAAGACCTCAGATTTGCTCAAGACTGTAAGGTAGCGGGTTCACCTGGATATTTTTGGTCGGGTATGTGGATTGTGCTGACACGTGTCCCTGATCTGGCTCCTGCACTGCTTGGAAGGAGTGTCCTTTCTCATCATTTATGTGCCGGAGTGTTCACGCAGGCTTTTGTTTAGTCTGTACTGCACACACAACCTTATTGTTACACTTCAGCAATGAGCAGAAGTGTTTCCTAATTGACTTTTGTCTGAAACATTTCATCTGTGAATTGAATTTTGCAAAGTAATGGGATGATCAAGGGCACATTTCCAGCAAATGCTGACTCAAATCCTCTGTCGATACTAGGAGCAGCACTGTAGGGTTTCACTTTTAAATGCCATCTTAACCATCTTAAAGATATTTGTGTTCACTAGCTACAAACCACACTGTAACACGGTTGCCAGATACCATTATTTAGCATTGGTTTTCCAGACTTTGATGTGAAAGTTGAAGCTTGCATATGTCTGCATGAAAGCAAACTGCAGTTAGGCAGTTAGGTGTTAAAGCTTACAGTAAGGAAGAGTAACATACTTTATAAAAGACTGCTTTGTCCTCCCAGGTATAACAATCTCTCCTTCACCCATCTCACAGGTCTAAAAAACTCTCAATAATGTCCTGATGTGGCAATTACCACTTTTATTATCCTTCATTACTGACTCTTCTTTGTAGCTGAGGGCTGATTCATCCCTAACATTCAGATGATGGAGACTTTTTAGGGAAAGAAAGGAAAATAGATACTGACAATGATAAATAGAGCACCAGTGTAAGAGGATAAGATAAGAAAAAAAAGAAAAAATTAAGGGATGGCGAGTTAAGACGAGAATGAATGCCGGAGGAGTCTTCTGCGGGACTGAGTTGTTTAATTAATGTTGCCGTACACACCACCTCCATTCCCAAGAGCAGTTTCTGTTTCTGTTTTTGTTTCTTTCACCTCATAATCCTCTTTTTGTATCTCTTTTCCACTTAGTTCAGTTGCATCCACTTCAGTCTCAGGGTTTATCTTTTAATTACAAAGAGCAGATTACAAGGAGAATTTTACAGCAGCCATGACATTGTTGCAATAACAACAACAAATAGCTTAATGTGGGTCGACCTGATAGCCGGTTGGCAATGAGAATGATACCACGTACACCCTGGCATCTTAAACAAAGAGTTATTGGTTTGATTCCCTTGTTCTTTCCTCACTTTTTCTCTATATGTGCCCGTTATTACTATAACATCAGAAATAAGTCAGTACGTACATGAGAAGGCATACAGTGTTCCAGTCGTCAAGTGTCTCTCACACCTGAAGTCTTTGCTTGGAAATCACTCTTTACAAATGACAAACGACTGTTCTTTCCTTTAGGTCTGGACGCTCTTCTCACTCTTACAGTCTCTCCTTTCTTTTCCACTCTGATACCTTCCACTCCTCCCACTTTCTACTCCACAAAAACCTCTTTCACTTCATGGGTCTGCTCTATCCATCTCAATAAGGGATAGATGAAGGTGTGAGAATAACAGTCTGGCAGGTATTTCTCCCAGTGTCCTCAGGACATATCGGTTATGATACCACTCGCCACACAGGACATATTACTTTCTGATTTTAAAAGTGCTTTTTGCTCTGGTCCTCTCAGTAGTAAGAGTTATATGTTCCTCTGTCTCTAATTGTTTGATAGTAATAATTCTTAACATCTTAAAAATTGTTTTAGAATACGTCAGATTTAAATGATTTTTTTTTTTTTTTCAAAAAAATGTACTTAATTAGACATGAATTAGAAGTCGGAGATGTTTTGTGTTTTTGCACTTTTCCTTTCTCATTTCAAAAAGAAGTTCTTTCACTGAGCTCTTTCTTTCCACCTTATTAGTCTCCCTTCTCGCTTTTTTGGTGGCACTTTATCTCAGCTTTACATCTATTCACGCTTGCTTTCCTTAGATTTCTTTTATTAAGAGGTGGGAAATAAAGAACTACAAAACCTTGTTCCTGTAGAGTTTTCATATATCTGTATTTTACTTGACTATTTAAATTTTCAGACAACTTTTGACTTTTATTCTCTACATTCAAACGTATATATCTTTGCTCCTTACATTTTCATAACAGGTTCATTACTTCAGGTTTAACGGATTTGAGGGGAGTTGTTGATTATTTTGCATCACTGTTATGTTCAAACTAAGTTAAGCATCAAATTTATGCATCATTTATAGGACTATGCAACTTAAACAAGGGGTTTAAGTTGTATAGTGCAATTTCAAACACACAAACTGTAGCTGTGCAGTTTGTAACACAATGTGTTCAATTCAGTTTTATTTATATAGCACCAAAGCACAAAAACATATGACAATAAGATAAGATATGATAAGATAACTCTTTATTGTCATTGCACAGTCATACATAGTACAGTAGTACAATGAAATTGGAAAACTGTCCTACGTCGGCACTACATATAACACAACACGACACGATATGGCACATCACAATGCAACGCAAACAACACAACACAGTATAATAACTTAGTAATAAAAAAGAAGAATAAGTGTATTTGTATTGCACACTGTTACTATTGCACATGAATTATTATTGCACCTTGTTATAAATATAAATATTATTATTGTTATTGTTTTAAACATTGTTACCTCCCCCCTAAAAAACTCCAGGGAGGTAGCCAATCAGGTCAGCTATTTGCATTGATCAATGCACTGAGTGTTATAAGGTAGAGACCCGACAGCAATGTGTATCTCTAAAAGTACAGGTTCTGTATTTCCCAGAGACAGAAGAGAAGCTCACTTTCAGAGGTAGAGAAAAATGTAAGACAGAAATGACAGGACCCGGGTATTATTTTCTTATCATATTTAATATGACATGAAGTTCACTTAGCTTTGCACAAACATAGCTTGTAGAAGTGTCCTCCAACGCGATACTGTTTACTGTTATAGTACATTTCAGAGCCTGCACTTCACTTTTACCTGAGTAAAAAGACTGAATTAGTACTTCAACTTTTACAAGAGTATTCTTTAAAACAAATATTTGTACTTCTACTTAGGTGATGAATGTGTGTCCTTTTGTCACCATTTATGTGTGCGCGTGTGTGTTTGTTGAAAGTTGAAGCTGAAACATGGCAGTGATTAATTGCATGGTTGAGATCAAACAAGCACAGTTTAATTAAATCCTCTGATAGTGTCAAAGTTTATGTTTCCTGGGAGTCAAGAGGTTGAACCCTCTGTGTCAACTTCCACTATTACTCAACATTAATCACAGCAGCGTGTTTGTCTTGTAAGTGCGAGCGATACGAGATGCAGCTTCTTTTACAGCTGCTCGGGGTAAATAAGAACAATTTTAACATAATGGAGATTTTTAAAGATCCTTTTGGAAGAAAGTGTAAACATGTCACATTAAATGGTTGATTTTGCATAACAGTTTTTCATTCAAAAACTCAATGTTTTGGTTTGGGGTTTTTTTTCCATCCCTGGTTCATTTCAATTGTTCCTAAGACTGGGCACAACTTTGGTTAGAGTAACCAATGATGCGATCCTGTCATGAGATGTTGCTTGTTGCTGGTAAAAATGTAATAAGCAGTTTCTTGACACTCAATATTCTGCCCTTTGGCGTGTTCAAAACTTTTATAGAGAGAATTTTGGGGCCAAGGGGTTGAGTGTGTTTGGCATAATCAAACGATGATCTCTGACTCACATCAGAGGAGAATCGGCACCTGCAAGCCCGAGGCCATGTTTCTCATCAGAAAAGGGTGGACTCCTTAAGTAATAATAATAATAATAATGGATTGCATTTATATAGCGCTTTTCGGGACCCCTCAAAGCGCTTTACAATTCCACTATTCATTCACTCTCACATTCACACACTGGTGGAGGCAGTTACAGTTGTAGCCACAGCTGCCCTGGGGCAGCTATACAATAAGTAGTATGCAATAAGTCTCCGCCTTAAAAGGAGGATTCTAAGTATTGTGGGGTCTTGAACAATGAATGACAGGTTGGGCATCTCCAACCTGTCATTCATTGTTCAAAGAAACAGACGCAGAGATTTTATGCATTATAATATGATAAGAAGCAATAAAAAAAACACATATCCATTGGTGAGCTGTAGCCAATTGCTTTGATGATTTGTCACCAAGAAGCACAACTTAAGTGAGAAGGAGAGAAAGATTGGCTGATGGATTATCCTGGCATTCGCAGCGATATGGACGATATAGTGATTGTGAACAGCTAGCTTCAAAAAGACCATGACAAATGTAATTGTGCCGTGTTAAACAGTTCTCCCTGCTTCCTCTGTTATGGTCAGGGTATCACCACAGCCTCCCTTCCTCCCCCTACGCCTTCACGGCTGGACCTGATGGTCAGAGGTTACCTCCATCTGGCACCCTCTCCTCTGAGTATCTGAACCAGGGTAACTCCAAGGTCCTCCTCCTCATCTGCAACACAGCAGGATCTGGCACGCAAGCTGTCAGGTGAGCTGTTGTCATCGTCATTATTATCCATTTAATTTGTATTGACTTTTTTTCTATTTAACTCAGATAAGCAGTTTATTTAACAATTACGGCTTCTTCTAGAACTATTTGAGCACAGAAGAACCAAGTGTAAAGATATCTAAGGTAACCTAGATATCTTTTATGCATTTTAAGGATGTGCCATCCTGCAGTCAGACTGTGTTTTAGACCTTGATCATACACAGAAGCAGACACTTCTCTTGCTCTGCTGTGTCTTAAATAGATTTTGTCGTTCATTCTTTTCCTTTAGTCCTGCTGTGTTATTTCAGCATCAACATCTAACTCCGGTTTGACTTTGACCTGTATGTCTGTTACGTGAATCCCCCAGACTCAGCGGTGTTTATTTTTTTAGATTTGTGCAGCTAAAACATACACTCAATTCAATAGTGTTGAAACTAGAGGCCAAGTTAAACAATGTGGTCAAATCAAACCCTCTGACCTGTGGAAAAAAAATCAATTAGATCCATGTGCTTGTCACTGCTTAGCATCTGCAATGTGCCGCATCTGATGTTAGATTTCAGCAGCATCACAGATGGAAGAAACAATGGAAGAAGCTGATTGGATGCTTGTATTTATTTGGGGCTAAGCATCCCATAGTTACTGAACAGCATTACAAATCAGAGAATCAAAACTTTTGATAACGTTTACCTGACAATATCGTCACTGAGAAGGTAAATAAAAAGATATGTGACCGAGACTTTTACAAGACAAATTTCAAGCCTTACTTTAAACTGAGCAAAGATTTATTGGCTTACATGTGAATGTTTTGCTGTTACTATTTTACTAAAACGAGTCCTTGCAAAGGCAGATTGGATGGGGCTTACAGTGCACAAAAGCATCCACATCGCCGTTATTAATACTTTTCAATTTATAACGCTCTCTCCACAGGGGATCAATAAGTCTAACCTCTTATTGACACAAGGCAAGACAGATTTATTTTACTCTCCAGTGATCTAGTTTCAGTCATCATGTGCACTTTGGGATTTGATCTTATAGCTCCACAAATCCATGTAGAGACGTTACTGAAAGGCTTGATAATGTCAGGGTCTGACATTTGAAGACTCATCCGTCCACATGCCACCTGACTCGTCTGTGCGGCTACAATAAATGTCTGAGTGTCTCTGTGCAGCCATCTATTCCCAAAATGATCTGGAAAAAAGCAATATATCTACAGATGTTTAATTATTTTCTAATTAAAATGCCATAGTGGAATTTCGCTGCATACTATAATAGAATCATGTGGATACCCGAACAGTCCAAATCTGTGCTTAAATGTGCAACTTCAACAGCTTTGCTCCTCCGAGACTGTGATATTATGAAGCTTGTAAAGATTTGCTCCCATTCAGCCTACAGATCATGCTCTGGCGCACAGTAGCAATCAAAACGATCCCGTTCAGGGTCGTTCAGGTTAAGGCAACTCAAGTTCTTTGACTCCAAATTATTTCTTCACTCTGAGCTCACTTTGTGCTGCGGGGAGGTTTTAAGAGAGGAAAAACAGGTCTTCTCCAGTACGATGCTGCAACATTAAAAGCTTGGTGTTGCTGTCATACTGTTGTGTTCTGTAGCAACTGAATGAGTTGCACCAATATTTCTTCAAAACAGTTAGCTGCCAAGGCATTGGGAACTTTGTTGCTGTGTTTGTGTTTATACTGTAAATGTCTTAAAATGCATTTAAAACTTAAAGTGTTATTGTAATTGTATGTGGACTATATGTAAGCCTGTGGATTAACATAGGTGGAAGAACCCATTCTAAGGTATGGATGCATTGCTGAAATGCAGACTGGTTTCTTATTTGTTCCTGGACAACATGTCAGTACAAGACAGCTGGCTGTAACAACTTGATGCACTTGACATTTGATAGTTTGACACATTCCTAATAAGCCTACAGCTGCTTTTCACTTAGTGTTTCAATGAATTCAGGTTAGACTACGTTTTCTAATCTTAATTACTTGCCAACATACTTAATTATAAATAGCAATCATTTTTTATTTATCTTTTCAATGCAAAACCTACTCTCAAATCTCTTTTGTTCTGCTCTGCTCTACCATCCTCACTTGTGCTCTGCTCTCGCAGGTTTGGGCCTCCATTTCTTATACTTGAGGACAGGAGTATCTCCTGGGACCAGCTGCATCAGAGCATCCTCAGTAAGCTCTATTATCTGATGCTGAATGGATCTCAGGCTCAGGTAATGCACCCTCACTAACCAATAACATGTCAGCTACTCTATTCTGTGTCCTTGGCGCTTCAGCTCAGGTGGTCCTGGACACTCTGGGTTCTAACAGAACAGATTAAAATAGCAGCGCAGTGGAGAGATCAGTTATCTGTCTGAGTCATAGTTAGAGCTAATTGAAAAGCAGACAAAGGTTAAAGCAAATAAAAAATCGTAGTTTTTTCTTCCTTCATTGTTTTGATGATTGTAGGGTCTTTGTGATGCTGTGTAAAGCACATTGAGACTGCAGGACGACCAAAATTACTGTAGCCAAGTGCAACAAACTTGTTGCCTTTGAAATAGCTGTTGACGTGGACCAAGTCTGCAACTGGCAGGCAGTTGCCATCTTCAAAACGAGTGCTATTTTGCTATTAGGCTGCAGTTGAACGGGGTCGGTGTTTGTGATAATACAGCAGTTAACTGTAAGCAGTTGGTGAAAATCACAAATCTGTTTCACCCTACATCCACAGAAATTCATAATTAAACAGAAATTCAAAGATTTCTTCTCAAATACTGATTTATATAGATATATAACCAGAATACAACCAGATGGCAAGAGAGTTGAGTCGAGTCCCTTATTGCAAAAACAAGTGTCATAGACGAGCTGTGCTTATTGGTGCAGATTGACTCAGATTGATTGCAACGTGCTGGCAATCTGTCTGCATTTTAAAATTAGATGGCAATTATTTGCACACCTTTGCCAATCTGTCTGAATGTGATTGCAGTCAGCGTGAGTTGGACAGTAATTGTTTGGAGATGGATTGCCTTCCACCAGGTGACACGTGTAGTCGTCTTGTGATCCAAAGCAGCCACCAAGAGGTTAAGGGCATTGCACTCATCCACCAAGGGCTGACCAGCTGGTGGCCAAAACTATGAGCAATCAGTTGCTGAATATGAAAAAATTTAGAGCAGTGACCAGGCAATTTCTGATTTTTGCTGGCTGCAAAGAGGTTGTCATCAAGTTTAGTGACGTATGTCATTCTTCATATGGGACGTTTTGATACTACTTTGAGAGGGCCTGTTTCTCCATCTGTTACAATTTTCATTCAAAGGAGTGTTTAAATCTTTTAAAATCTTTTAAGGTGTTTTCACAAAAAAAATATTTAAAATAAACCAAACACTAGAGCAGACACATACCAGTAGTTCAAGCCTTTCATGTGAGAATAATAATGTCCCTAGCATAATTTTCAATGTTGCACTGTCAAACCTCAATAACAGAAATGCACATTTTTATCAGTGTAGAGGAAATAAAGATGAATGTGAAGAGTGAAAATAAGAAAACAAGTTTTATTTTGTTGCATAGTTTCTGTGGATGCATTACTCCTACATTCACAAGCCAAGATTTAACCACAAAGGCCTTTGATTCTGACCTGTTTATTTTTGTTCAAGGCCATTTTTGTATGTAAGATTTTAGCTCTACCGTCCACTCAGTATGTGCTGCTAATCTTGATAAAAGCTGCGATTCAGCCGATGCGTGTTCAAACCATGAACTGTGGCTCAACACTACTGAGTAAATATTTTTGTGACACGTAAGCACCCATTCATCATGCAGCTGTCTATTTGATTAGGAACTACGGAGGAAAAGAAGGAGAAACATAAGACTGGTATTTACTGATTGCTATCTTAGTTTCATAGTTAATTCTTCAAAACCTGTCTGGCCAGATATGAAAACATCCTCTTGTTGTCCTTACTTCCCCTTTATTCTTCTTAAAAATATACCACCAACGCCCCTATGTGGATTTTTGTTTGTTTGTTGTTATTTTATTTTTATTTTTTTCATATTTTAAGCTGTAAAGACCACTTCTATCCCGAGGGAGAAGGCCATCAAGCCTTGCTGATGCTTTGTTGCTGTTATTTTAGAAGAAACCACAGAACTAATACCAGCTTTACTGTAATCTCTGTGCAATATAATACATAAGATCCACACAAAACTCTGTTTCTTTGCCAGTGTCATGCTCCTTTCATTATCATTAATCAGTGCTTTGGTGCCACCCAGAGGTTTGTTTAGCAATACACAGCTCAGCTTGTCCAAAAAAAGAAAACGCACCGACTCGCATGTCAAAATCCAGCTCTTCTTTCACAGCTCACTCTCTGAAGGTTATCAGGTTATTTAGAAAATGTTATAAATTTTGCCTCTGTCTCCGACATACCTGCCTAAACTTTATATTAGCACATTACATTCATATTCATTTTTTTTACTCTTTGAAAAGCTGGCAGAGCAGAATTCAGCTTATTTGAATTTTAAATGACTAATACTCTCTGAATAAAAAGGAAACAACTTGTTAATGCTTGTTGCCTGGCCTTTTTAGGGAATATTTAGAAAATTCCCTAAGTCTTTTATCCTGATGGTAAATCCATGTTGGAGGATTTCTATAATTTTTATAATTCGGCTGTTTCTGCTAAAAATGAGCTTTTGGCTCTGAGTTCGTTTTTTCTTGAATCTTTGAACTTCTCATGTCACATGTTTATCTTACCAAATATTACTGAATGACCAGTGAATTCAAATATACGGCCTTCTATCTTTTTCTTTATGGTGTGAAGGTCTTTCATATATTCAGACTCACTGGAGTCGCTGGCCTCCGTGAGGCAGATTATGAATGCTTAACACTAACGTTCATTCAAAAACTGTACCAGTCCTGCGTGATTACTTATTAGTGTGAAGTGTCTCATCCACTTTCCTTCATTATACTTTAACAGACAGACAAGGATGTCTGAACGCATGCTCGCTCGACCTCATAAAACCAACAAGAAAGAGACTGTACCTTTTTCATTACTGCTCTAGGCTCCTATTAACCAACTAATTTTTTTCTCTTTATGCTCGACTGCAGTTCCTGTTCTCCAAGAGCAGCCGACTCATAATGAACCCTTATGTCTTTGCAACAAAGAATGTAATCCATTTGGAAATACATTTTTCTCTATTTGAGTGGAAAGGTGGTAGGACTGACAGAGAGACTAGGTTATTATAGTTACAGAGCATTTTAGTTAACAGACATTTTAAAACCAAGTCCCACAAGAGAAACAAAAATAGGACAAAGTGATTAAAAATGTTCTAGTCTCTGTCAATTT